GGGGGCGCAGGGGGTATGGGGTGTTTGGGGGCGAAGGGGGGTTCCCTTCGTTTTGTTCGCAAAGGGTGTGGAGCTGTACAATTTCGCGGTTGTTGGAGGATATGACACGCCAAGACAGAGAAGGTGAAATCACGTGTCACCGTCGACGACGCCTTTTTCCACTGAGCGGAAATGACATTGTGGCAGCTCCGTGCGCGGAAGGAGTGTCCACTCCTGCGCAACCCAACCCGCATAAATGCAATCCGCAGGAGGGTGTTTCTTGTACAGAAGCCCGCTGCGCCTGCTTCGCCGTGGCTCTTGTATTCCTCTCGCTGCGCGCGCTGCACCGTGTCTAGAGGGTGTTTCCAGCACAGAAGCCCGCCGCGCATGCTCCGCCATTGTAGCCATCTGGAGACGTGGAGAGCGGTCGTCATTCTTCTCGGAGCGGGTCATACTCACCGCCACGCCTGCAGACCACCGCCGTAAAGCTTCTCGCCACGCTACGTCGCCCTTCTCGCCGTAAAGCTTCTCGCCGCGGAGCAATCTCACCGCGCTACGTCGCCCTTCTCGCCGTAAAGCTTCTCACCGCGGAGCAATCTCGCCGCGCTACGTCGCCCTTCTCGCCGTAAAGCTTCTCGCCGTAAAGCTTCTCACCGCGCTACGTCGCCCTTCTCGCCGTAAAGCTTCTTGTCGTGAAGCTTCTCGCCGCGGAGCAATCTCGCCCCGCTACGTCGCCCTTCTCGCCGTGAAGCTTCTCGTCGCCGTTCCCGCCCTTCCCACCGTAAATCTTCTCGCCGTAAAGCGTCGCCGAAGGACGGTTCTTCTGCGTCAGCGGGGTCATCGCCCTTCTACCCTGCACGTCTGCGTCGTCGTCTTCTGCCCTACCGTTGAGGATTCTTCCTCGTCGTCGCCGCGCCGCAGCACATCGCTGGGAGATAGGAACGGTGGTCGGCGAAGCGCTTCCAAGTGTTGAAAGGAGGGGCAAAAGGTTGTCACCACAGATCCGCGGCCAGCATGTCGACGCGAGGGAGTGCCCGTGGCACGAAGCGCGATGCCGCAGCCGTCGTCGGGCTTGCGCAGGCGAAAGGTCGGCGCCATATCCCGAAATCGAAGAAGGTGCGCTCCGGTGAAGCGTCAGGAAACGTGCCTGCTCGTGGTTCCGAAGGTTGGGCAGCCGCAGCGGAAATGGAGTCTGACGACGACTTCGGGATGGAGGAACCGTAGGCGGAGGCGACGGCATCAGCGGTGCGACAAAGCGCTCACCAGCGAGCTTCTGATCACAGCGCGTCGAAGAGGATGCTCTCCCCTGCACCCGAGGCGCAACAGGTGCATGGCCTCGATGCAAGACAAGGCTGTCGTCATTGTGGCGGAAGGCGATGATGACGAGACGTTGGAAAGCCGTCGCTAGCGCAATCTTGCACAAGATTCCGCAGCCCCGTTGATGACTACACGCCTCCCGAAAAAGGAAGTCGTGCCAGAGCGACGCGCAATCGAGGGCGAGGCGGCAGGCGCTGCGGGCGGGACCTCCACAGTGAGCTCGGCCCCCGTGGCGACGACGAGAGAGGAGGCAGCAGCTGCGGCGACGGCGAGAGAGGACGCGCGTGGAGAGAAGACAACCGATCGGGAGGGCGGCGATGTTGGTCCGAGCCGGGTGCACAAGGAAACCATGAGCAGAGAGCTCATCGATTGCGCCCTACTCTGGGTGGATGACAAAGCGTTCTGGACGACGGGGGAGGGGCGAAGATTGTACAACATCATTCACGATACGCATGAATACTTCGTCGCCATCGCCAGCGGCCTTCCAGCGACTGTCGTCTCTCGCGGCGTCATCCTGCCGAAGTCGAGCACCAAGGTAGCCAAGATCTCCGACCCATCGCAGCTGCAGCAAGCGATCTCCCGTGCGGCGAAAGTGGAGAACGTGGCTTTGCGCGTCCTGCACAGCTGGGTTTTCAAGTCCGGCAACCGCGCAAGGGGGTACAACCTGGCTTACCAGTACGCACTGGAGCGCGCGTGCTATGTGGTACGCCGAGGACTGGTCCAACGTCGTCAGCGCGCCCATCTGCGGCCACACGATAGATCTCAACATGGACTTGCCACTGTGGTTCGTAGGCGCCCATATCGACGACAGACCCGACGACGACGACATGGCGGCGTACCAGGAGTCGACCGTCATCTGCATCGCCCAAGCATTCCGCGCGGCGGTGCAGATGGGAGCGCACATTGACGGCGATTTCATCTCCTACGACCGTCTTTGTCGGGTGGCTGACTGCTTCAGACTTTTGTTGGCGGCGCCAATGTGGATAATGCGCATGGCGGGAGACGACTTCCACAGCCACTACGAGGCGTTCTACTCCGTCAACTTGCCTGGCCAGGCCTACACTGGTCGCGTCCATGCATCGCTCCTTCGACCATAGACGATCCGTCGTCCGCGCCGTGAAAGCGGTTGTTATAGTCCTCGAACATGTCCACGTGGCACATCGACGTGAGGGGCTTCACCGCGGTTGGACCGTTGCGCAAAGAGAGAGAGAGAGAGAGAGAGAGAGAGAGAAGCCAAACAGGGCTGTTGAGAGTGGTTGCGCAGGTGGAAGTGGCTGGGCGTCATGGGCGTCGCATGGAACTGGGACGATGCGTGCTGCGCGACTGTTTAGTGCGGGGGTAGGAGGGATTCCCCCGGAGCGTCGTCGGTGGCGAAGCTGTATAGTGTGTTGGTCGTGGCACGACAACGGGTTCACTGGACTCGATCGTGCATGWGGAGGTTAGTGTAGGTGTTTAGCTTGTCTGTCGTTGTAGCCGACGACGGCTTCATTACTTCGAAACGTGTTTTGTGTTTCTATCATCGCAGTTACCTGCGGAAGAACTTCATAGCGCTTGCAGCGCACACTTTTTATCTTGTGACGTGTCCCTTCTTCTCGTGTCTTT